TACACTGCAAAAAATACCGGAGTATTTTGACTCAAAAATATGAGTAAAACAATGCACCCACAGTGACTCAAAATATTGAGTAAAACAACTCAACTTAGTGAGCAAATTAACTCAACTTTTTGAGTAAAGCAAATGCACCCACAGTGACTCAAATCTTTGAGTAAAACATCACTTTACTCAAATTGTGAGTAAAAAATACTCAAATTTTTGAGTAAAGCAAATGCACCCACAGTGACTCAAATCTTTGAGTAAAACATCACTTTACTCAAATTGTGAGTAAAAAATACTCAAATTTTTTAGTAAAGCAAATGCACCCACAGTGACTCAAATCTTTGAGTAAAACATCACTTTACTCAAATTGTGAGTAAAAACTACTCAAATTTTTGAGTAAAGCAAATGCACCCACAGTGACTCAAATCTTTGAGTAAAACATCACTTTACTCAAATTGGTGAGTAAAAAATACTCAAATTTTTGAGTAAAGCAAATGCACCCACAGTGACTCAAATCTTTGAGTAAAACATCACTTTACTCAAATTGTGAGTAAAAACTACTCAAATGTGTGAGTAAAGTAAACACACCGACAGTGACTCAAATTTTTGAGTAAAACATTACTTTACTCAAATTGTGAGTAAAAAATACTCAAATTTATGAGTAAAGCAAATTCACCCACAGTGACTCAAATTCTTGAGTACAACATCACTTTACTAAAATCAGTAAACACACCGACAGTTTTCACTCAAATTGTCAGTGAAAAGCAAATTAAATTAACACGCGTTACCTAACTTGTGCATGCATGCAGTCTCGAAAAGTATATTCACCAATAGCCATAAATCAAACACTTGAATAAAATTTATTTCAATGAAATTTAACGAAGTTATATTACTCAATCCTATATATATATAATATAACTAAATCACGTCGATCTTTGTAATAACTTTAATTTCACAATAAAACCATGAAACATTTTGGAATAGTAAACATGCATGTGAGTACATGCAGCGGAACATGCGAGGAATTCCCCAAAAATGAGCCCCTTGCTGAGTTGCTGCTCCTTAAATCATGCATGCTATAATAGCCCTCCTGAAGTCAAAATAATTTATTATCCCTCTATATACAAGGTATACAGTATTGTAACAGGAAATACAATTTGCTTTAGCATATAATGATATATTCTTACGCTCGATAACATTCTTTGAATGCAGTTCTAAGTTCAAAGTTTGATTGATGATATCATGGCTGCATGTGTATAATATGATGGATTGCAGGATGTTGCAAACAGCCAATATTAAATATAGGAGACAATCAACAGCCTACTCTAGCAAGGCAATAATAGCAGACTGATCATGGGTTTTTGTAGATGGACATTTCAAATGGAAACTGTACAGTTAACATGTGTTTCATAGAACTAACTGGGAGCATGTTTCGCTCGCTACTCTGGTTTAAATAAATTATTACAAAGTCCAGCTGTTGAATTGTAATCAAGACCCAACGTTTTGACACTCCAGTCTAGTGTCTTCATCAGGGGTGATCTAAAGTTGCAATTGTCGCTTCTTAAATACCCAAGGGATGACGTCACCTGCCAATGAGATGCATGTAATATAATATTAATGTTGCCTTAAAACCGTATTTGACTTTAGGCCATATTTTCGCAAAGCCAAAAGATCCTGTTAAAACAAATCAGAAAACTCATGCTGTATATTCTATACCATGCGGTGACTGCGAAAAAGAGTATTTGGGTCAGTCTTAACACTAGTTTGGTACATGGCTAAAAGAACATCAAAAGGCTGTTTCAACTTTAAAACAAGGGGAAATCCCAGTGTGGAAAGACTACCGAAAATCAGCTTTATCAGAACATGTGTGTGGCACCAAACACGAGATTGTGTCGGAAAAATCTAAAGTAATTACCACAAACAATCGCTATCATGGTCAAAGACTATGCCTAGAAGCATGGCATATAAATATGAGTAATTATGCTGTGAATAGGGATGACGGTGCCTATTTGCCAGAGGAATACATGCATCTCATTGGCAGGTGATGTCATCCCTTGGGTATTTAATAAGCCACAATTACAACTTTAGATCACCCCTAAAGAAGACACTAGACTGGAGTGTCTAAACGCTGGGTCTTGATTACAATTCCACCGGGCTTTGTAATTATTTATTTAATCCAAAGTAGCAAGCGAAAAACACAATTGATATACCTGGTTGTGGTGAACAAATACACTTCAAATAACTCAGATAGCAATTGCAAGTCTGCCAGCATAAACTGAACCTACAGCCCTGCAATTCTACTGCTGCCCTCTGACTTAAAGTGTCTGTTTGCCAAGAGGTCACCACAAGTTGCTGTACATACTGTATATAAACCATTAAATGGTGGTGTCAGTGGTAGTATATTAAGTTAACTGGTATCAGTATTATATACATAAACTCCTGGTGACCTTCATTGACTCTTGGGGCTTGATGGACTCTTTGCAATTAAGGAGCTGATCCGAATCACAGGGGTTTCATCCCGGCACAATAGCTATTACATAGTTATTGTTCAATATTTCCATCTACAGAAAGACTTTAACCCATTGAGTGGCAGCATACCTTGCATTGGACACAAAATAATAAAATAATAAAGTAGAGCACATTGCCACTTAAAGGGTTAAACATTCTGTTCAATCTTGAATTACAAGTAAAATACACGGCATGTAGTGTCAGTGCTCAATCAAGCATACATATTATGTCTAATGTCGTGCAAGTCCATTAGTTAAATTTTAGTACAAAACAAGCTGTACTATACCACCAGTCGGCAACTCCTAGTCCTTTCCTTGCATGGTTTGGTAATCCGTAAACATGCTCTCCAGCAAAAGAATAACATTTTCCAAATAGACCATGAAGTACTTAGAATGCCATTAATGATTATATTGCCACTTGTTTAGATGACTTGCCTTCTCCTGGGCTGCTTCGATAACTTTTCATTCAGCATCACAGGATATAATGAATCCATATTAAATACAACCACTATTAAGAAAAAATATACAAGATTGATATAATTATAACAGAAGCAAATTATTGAGTGACAATAAATTTGCTATTTTTGGTTGTTTTCTAGTGTACAAAGCAAGCAGAGGTGTAACTTAACACTTCCCACTAATTGCCCGAGACAAGTGAAATTCATGACGGGCAAGTAAATGTTTTATCTTGCTTGCCTGATTGGGCAAGTTGCCTGATTAGTGCCGCAAAAATCTGGGCATCTTTAATTTAAGGGCAGATATTCTGATTAACCCATTGAGGGACAGATTCTCCTCCTGACAAGTAAAATTGTCCGATGTTTAGACAAAGTAAAATAATAAAGTAGGGCGCATTGCCACTTAAAGGGTTAAAATATCTCGGTAATTGTTTTTATCAGTTACATTTCGAAAATGTCTGCAAAAGTGTGATGTTGGTTACCGTATTGGAAAATGTACTTCTATTATAAAACTCAGACTGGTTGATTCGATTTGGCAAGCTTAGTGTCCATCTAAAGAGGCTCATGTAAACAGACATTCATCCAGGGAAAGCAAGCTATAGCCGGGCTACCTGGGCTGGCTTCCTTGACGGCTTGACCATATAAGCAGGTCTTCACACATGTTTTAGGGTGACCGATAGGAGGGTTTAATACCATAGCAAGCACATGCCATACATTGGGTAATATTGGGAGATGGGCTATTACAATGCTATCTATATGCTATTAATTTGACTTCAAACAAACCACATTGTATTTATGTGATTTGTAAGTATACAATGCATGCCAACTATAAATGGCAAATATTTCTCAGGAAATATAGCATACACGTATATCACACAACTAAGCTATACCATTTTCTTAAAACACAGATAGGTAGAGTGTAGATTAGATTTATACACTTCTGCTAATAGAAATTAATCGAAAATTTACAACTGAACGTTTAGATGCCTTCGGTAAAAAAGTATTAATACAAATACAAGCCTTCGATTTAAAAACATAACTATACAGTATATCAAGTAACTATCCGCATACAAATGAGTAAATACACAATAGACATACCTTTGAAAACAAATTCCATGTATTTTATTAGGTCTTTGGAACTTTATAAGTAGAACATTTGAATAAAAATCCTTTCCTCTTTGAATATTTGCTCTCAAAAGATCGAACTTAGCGCTTGTTATCAACAGATCGAATTACTACAACACGTGATATATTTTAAGCATGTTAATTGGTTGAAAAATAGTTGAAATTCTGGAACTTCCACTTGTCGCAAATTATATTTCGCAACAGAACATTCCACAAGTTCAAATTACAGATTAAATACGCTGCAAATAAAAATATAGATTAATTTGACGAGAAAAACTCGCTGACAATTTCTGGCTACATTCGATAGCCGCGTTTGCGAGTCAACAATAAGAACCCGCTATACTGGTAATATACAGCAACCTGACTTGGCAACATACGAATTAAAAAGCGCATCAAGCAGCTAAACCTTGTGATGATTTTACACGAAATTGCAGCTCTTTCACTATACGAATTTGTATAGCAAATACCGCCCTAATTCTACAGTATTTGAATGAATAAATCCTGTAGATTGGAATATAGGTTAGAGATCCTTGCATGGGATATTTCTGTGCCTTTATGAAAAATGTGTAAGTTGAAAAGGCGTGCTTAATTAGCAAATCTTTTTTGAAGGTGTGTTACAAAAGCACACCTTTCACCAAAGATGTGCTTAATTTAACAACGTCAAAGGTGTGTTATTTTAAGGTGTGTTATTGAAAAAAGGTGTGCTATTTTGGGGCACAAAAAAAGATGTGTTAGTAGAAAAAGGTGTGTTATTGGAGAAAGGTGTGCTATTTTAAAAGGTGTGTTATCTTCCAAAGGTGTGTTATCTTTCAAAGGTGTGTTAATTGAGCACACCTTACCTTTACTCGGAAGGTGTGTTAGCTAAAGGTGTGTTACAGAACACACCTTTTGCGTACACTGTGTTCTGCTCAGCACACCTTGGTGTGTTTTGTAGTACACCTTGGTGTGTTTTGTAGCACACCTTTGTGTGTTCAGTGACAAGAAAACACACCTTGTGTGCTATTTTAGCACACCTTTGTGTTAAATAACACACCAAGTTGTGTTGTTTAGCACACCTATTTTTAAGAGTGTATATATATATATTTCCCTCCAAATCAACCATGCAATAGCAATAGTTTGGCCTGGCTGTTCATCAGTGATTTGAACAATGTATTAATTCAAATACTAAACTTTGACTGATTTGAGGAAAATACAATAGACATTTTATCAATAAAGACAAACCTTTTAGATAAACGTGGACCAATATACAGTATATAGTTAATGAGTTGCATTGTATTATTATCAAGTGTCCAAACCATGCCATTCTATTAACTGCAGTGGACTGATACAGTTAATGTGTATCTGCTATGCATAAATGAAAAACAATGCCAATGGCGGCCATATTGGTGAGACAAATGTACTAGCTGTGATGTTGTCAGCATGTTTAAAGAAGTTCAAACAGTTTCTAGTAGTTATTGCAGGTCGGAAAGGACGTGTTTTTCCACATAGATCAGTGGACTCTTTCTTCCTAAATTTGAATATAATGAGGTTACACAATATGGCCGTCATGACCCTCAGATGTTGGAACCTATATTACGCAAGTTTCATATAAAAATATATATTTGCTTCATATTCATAGTAATGTAAACAGCTAACGAATAACAATTTGACTATATATAGTCAAGAATTTGACAGATTTAAAAATCTGTTCACGTTGAAAATATATTCTGTTTCAAAATTGGCTCATTCATTTCATCACAATATATAGGATGCTCTATCCACTCATTGTTTCAGATGAGTGTTAATTACTGTACTGATTACTGTTGTAATTGGTCAAAAAATTGGATGTATAATTTTTCTCATGCTTGATTGTTGCATTTATTTTTATGGCATGACTTTAGTATTTTTTATATTTTTACTCAGATTTGAGTAAAGCTACATTGTTGCCTTTACTCAAGCGATTTACTCAAGTTTGTGCAAAGCTATATAATTACAGTAACTTTACTCAAATCATGAGTAAAATTATTACGCTTTTACTCGGGCTCGAGTAAAGCTAATTCACTTTGTGTATAAACGACGAGTCAATTGTTATATTTTACTCAAGTTTGTGTAAAGTTAATCTACAGTATATACTCAGTGCTAAATGATGAGTAAATTCTTACCTCTTTACTCAGACTTGAGTAAAGCTAACTGACTCTATTCAATCCAATGAGTATTTACTATACTTTTACTCAAGCTTGAGTAAGGCTAATTTACTTCACTCAAACGATGAGTAAATTGGTATATTCTTACTCAATCCATGAGTAATGTTAGTTTACGTCACTCGACATCTGAGTAATGATAATTTGGTTTACTCAGTCTTTGAGTAAAGACGATGTTTTACTCAAACTTTTGAGTAGGTTTACTGAAGAAGCGTCCAGAGTAAAATGAATTTACAATTTTACTCAATGAATGAGTAATTTTACTCACAAATGGTGTACATTTACTCCTTCCGGTCGAGTCAAATGACTCGCCTATTGCCCATCAAGACAATTTTACTCACGTTTCTGAGTAGAATTACTAACAACGAATATTTACTATGTTTTTACTCAAGCTTGAGTAAAGCTAATTCACTTTACTCAAACGATGAGTAAATTGGTATATTCTTACTCAATCCATGAGTAATGTTACTCGATATCTGAGTGCTGATAATTTGGTTTGCTCAGTCTTTGAGTAAAGACGACGTTTTACTCAAAATTTTGAGTACGTTTACTCAGGAAGCGTCAGAGTAAAATGAATTTGCAATTTTACTCGCTGTATGAGTAATTTTACTCACAAATTCAGTAAATTTACTCATTCCGGCCGAGTCAAATGACTCACCTACTGCCGATAAAGACAATTTTACTCACGTTTCAAAGTAGAGTTACTCAACCGCTGAGTAAAACATGCCAATTACTCAAAGTGTGAGTGACTTTGCTCGCAAAATGAGTAATTTGACTCAAATTGAGAAGTGGATTTTTGCAGTGTACAAGATCGTATATTAAGTGGGGCTAGTATATATAAGCGGTTATGATTACTTTTGGTCTTGTTGAGCATGTTGAATTCAATTTCAATCAAGGATAGCGGGAATCGAGGGGGGAATAATGTTATAGTGTTGCCAAATTGATAAGGATGATAATATTGATATAAAAAGTATATATAATTCGAAAAAACTGTCGCTATGTTTAAAATATTTGCCTGATTATATCACTTAGACTTGTCATGATATCGATTTTATATATGGCGTATAGACTGAATGATTTACATGATATACACAGTAGTCAGTATACAAAAGATGCGAAAAATATCACAACATCGAATGTGATTGGTCGCAACCTGATTCAGCGACCAAATCAAAACCAGACCGTAAATATAAATATTGCATTCACTATTTAAGTCTATTTTACATTGATGTGTTTTTAACATTATCTTATATCTTCGATATATCGTGTGGTGTTGATACTTCGGTGTGGGAATTTTTTAATCTAAATTCAGTTGACCTACTCATAGATCAGGTCTACATGATATCGAGCAAATTGTCCTTCGTGACGAGAATTGTACTAAATATGCGGTCAATATATTTCTGGAAACTCTAACCTTGCCCTCGTATGTTTACGTCGGCCGAATTCTAAATGCTCTATAAAACCATATACAAAACATTCCTCACCGATATGAAAACTGCAGACTATAGGTGGTCTAAAACTTGCGCGCCCCACCACTGCCACTGGTACTGCAACATGCACTCACCAAATACATCTAAACTTCACGAGTTTTATTAAAGAGGGCCGGCCGGAACAATTGGCATGCAACTGTTTCATATAGTAACTAGTATAATTGACAGTGGAAATACGGAACTTATGATAAGATATTACATATATTATATATAGATTACAGGTATAATATGTTAACAAAATTTAAATAGAAAGGCATTTTTTGAGCATATAGGAAGCATAGGCGTATACTGCAGTGGCGCCGTGGCCAGGGGGGGGGCAGGGGGGGGCATGGGCCCCCTATGTTGAGAACCGTCGGAAAATTAGAAATTTGTTATGTTATCGGAATCTTCGTGGTCAAGCATGCCTACATATATGAGCGGGAATTTTACTTCTCTTCGTTGTTTGACAATGCCAAACATGTTTGAATAAAAAATATATGTATGAAATATCGGAAATTGGACTCAGTTTACGTTTTCCCAATATACGTCTATAGAATAGTCAATATTTAATTCAATATGACTTCATTATTATTTATGTATGAAAAATCGAGTTTGTCGGGAAAATGCTGTCGTTGGCCCCCGTAAAACATGGGACCCAGGACGCTCCTGCGTACGGGAAGAAAAAAATAGGTATATAAAATATATTAAATATTAACAGCATATAAATGATATATTATAAAGGTTAGTTTTTTAACCTGATAGGAAGTAGAAATAGAACCAATTCAAGGACGAGCAAAAGCATCCTCTTTCAACTTTGCAAAAGTAGGGAAATTAATGGGGCTCAAATGACCAAATCAAAAGTTGTTCCATATATACCGCGCGTATGGATGATCAATATCTACAAACTAGTCCGCCGCTGCCTCGTTTAATTGGCCAGCAACGATGGAATGTATACAAATTAATAACGGCAACTAAACTACAAATAAAAAGTTGCCGCACAATCAAGAAAAAAGGCTCTTACAACGATGAATTTAATCAAAATTTAATACTTAACCTGTACTGCCATGCTAATCAGTAAACCAAACTAATTTGGCGACATAAAGACGTGACTGCGTGTAGCGCAGGCCGTTGTCAGTACAATGCAGCGACTGATGCATGCTTGACTCTATTGTGACTTGGCTATAAATTAATAGCATGTATTATTCCAATTGACGTCACAACTCACAAGTATAGTTTGTCCGAATATTAGTCCCACACTTCTTGCAGGCTTAACAATACAGGGTGTTCTTTGTAGGTTTGCATGGCGATAAATTCAGGGGCGGCGCTAACCCTCTTCGAGTGGGGGGGGTGAGTGATCTTTTGCCGACTGTTGTTTGGTAATTTTGCCGAGTCATTAGCCTATAGTGAGGGTCCTGAAGGGGGGGGTCCCAATCCCATTTTCCACCTGAAATTTTGGCAAAATCCCAGTCCCAGTTGG